TTTAATAGCTTTTTCGTCTTACCCCCAAATCTCTGGTCAGCAGTGCTTTGCAAGCTTCATAACCAATGAAGCCCAAGCCACCAACGAACACAACATTTTTACCCGCCAAACTCATATTTAATGAAAATTTAGTTCAAAATCCAGAAACACCGTAATTTGTATAAAAACACTTCTCTGCAACTCTTTGGCCAGCGACTGTGATGCGACTGATCGCTTTGCCGGCTTTTTATATCGAAATCCTCACGGCGCGTGTAGGGGCTCGCTCGCGCATGTCACGGAGCTTTTGATACGAAAATGGGGCGGGCGCCAATTACGACACATTAACATAGCTGTCGTTGCGTCAAAATACCCYACCAAATGTTGCTGCAGAAAGTGTTTGCCTTAAAATAAGTTCTGCATACTTTCATGACACAAAGTAGCGAATGTAAATAAGTAAATGTTTGTTAAATATATATATAGATATTATGTACAAGCCGATTAACAATACATTATATATATATATATATATAAGTTCTAATACCTATACATATATACATTTTTGTATACAAGTCAATAAGTTGTCGAGTCATTCTAAAATTTGGCACGAGCGATCATTGTTGATGCTCATGTTTGTTGTACTGAGATTTTTTTAWATCCATTCCTTTAAACACACTCTTTAATACTGATTATTTGTTAATCACTTTTRGATTTGCGTTAACGCCAATAACTTTTAGTTAAGTCGCCGGCGTTTTGCTGATTTTTAGCATGTTATTGCTAATCACTTTCGATATTTACTAATCGCAAGTTATCAGCGAACTTGTGTCAACAAACACAACAAAGTTTATTTTGTTTCTCTTTGCCTTAATAATTAAGAAGAATTRGAAGATGCATTCGGAATTATTTGTAACTGTCGCTACGTTGCATTCTTGTAACGGTTCTGGTCGCACTAACCTTCTAAACTCCCATGAATTCGGATTTTTACAACCGATAAATATATCGAACGAAGAGTTTGTCTAAAATCTTGTATTTTTAACTAAATTTCGTGTGCGGAATCATTATGAATGCTGGAAAAGATTTGTGGCAATTCAGGTTTTATCAAAAYCACAAGCTTACGAGTGATTCAAAGCCTTCAAAAGCGGTCGAAATATCGTTGAAGACATTCCTGGACGCCACTCGATATCTTCAACTGACGAAAATATTAAAAAAGTGAAGGACGTGGTGCTTGAAAAAAAAGAGAGCTCATTAGCTCTCGCGAGTCGATTTGACTGATTTTGGTGGATATTTTCAGTATGAAATACGTTCTTCCTCGACTCGTTCCGATAAAGTTGAATTTTCTTCAAACAGAGTTTCATAAACAAGTCCCTTCTAACATGCTTGATTGTTCGGATTCCGATCCAACATTCATGCATGGAGAGCATTACAACTTCCGAAGATGTGAGGAGCCGAAACTAAAAACAAACAAAAAACACGCAAGCCTCTCAAATATCAAGCTGATGCTCATTGTTTTTGTTTAATTGTTTGTTTTGTTTAATGTTTTTCGGTGCATCATGAATAATTTCTTCCAGAAGGACAGCCAATCAATAAGGAGCTCTATTTGGCTGTATTTTGACGTTGGCGTGAGACTATCCGTCGAAAATGGTTGGAATTATAGAAGAACAACTCATGTGTTTTACTTGATGATAGTCCACCATCTCCAAATTCSTTGAAGGAGCTGAAAGTCTTAAGAAAAGTTTTTCAAGGACTGGAAAAGTYCTCGTCATAAGTGCATTGCATTTGGTAAAGATTATTTTGAAGGCGACAAAATATATTATATCCGTATATTGTTCAATAATTAAATATTTTGCATTTRAGATACAATTTGCGGGTACTTTTTTGTCACGATGCACATATAAGATCGACAGTGATTAAAACGAAAGAATTATGCTTGTTGAATGGTCTCCTGAAACATCGAGAATATGAGAACATCGTGGTGYAGCAGTTTCCAGTAAAAAAAGTTTCCCATATGAGGACTTGATTCCGATCGTTATRTTTGGATGACAGCTGTACAGCTATTATGGTCAGATCGGAAGAAAATTTTGTCGGAGTTTGTACAGTGGCCTTGTAAAGTAATCCACGCCAAATTCAGATATTGCTTCAATTAAAAGAGTTGACTCTGAGCCTTCAGTTTGTATGGTAGGCATATTCGATAGTGGTTTCTTAGAGAAAAAAGGAAGGCTGTGTTCAAANTTGTCGGAGTTTGTACAGTGGCCTTGTAAAGTAATCCACGCCAAATTCAGATATTGCTTCAATTAAAAGAGTTGACTCTGAGCCTTCAGTTTGTATGGTAGGCATATTCGATAGTGGTTTCTTAGAGAAAAAAGGAAGGCTGTGTTCAAAATGAACTTGAGATCGATATTACCACAAATTAAAAGGCAGCATAGCGTATATACAGAGAAACGGACATGGCGAAAGCGAAAGTTTGTCACACTGATCATTTATATGTATATAGTTTATAAGCCCTCGGACATTTTCCTTTGCATAGTATATGCTAGTCTTAATATTATATTTACTTCTTCTGGGCATCTTATGGGGTTTGGTGGGTTTCAGAGATACAAAAAAATATATTTTTACAAACAATCACATATTTCAAAAATATTCTATGAAATATCAAAGGTACATATTTGAACAATGTTGCATCTTCAATTGMATAAAAAAATGTAAAAGGTGACATCTCTTTTGAAAAAAAAAAAAATATTTAAGGCTTTAAATTTTATTTTAATTTCATAGTTATCCGCGCGTCTTATCCATTTATATGAAATTAAACTATTACAAAACTGGCAACTCTCCAGCTTAATTTTTTTAAGCGCAAATTTTCTCGAAATTATTGTTTTTAGTACGATATCCTTATTTTGATGAATTGTTGGCTTAAACTTTTTTTTATATAATTGTAATTGTAATTTTATTAAGATAAATACACTCAACTGTTAGTTTCACAGACGCATAAATATTAACTAAACCTATATTTAATGGAATATTGAATTATTGAATTGAAAATTTTTTTAAGATGGCAACCTAGTTCTAGAAACAACGATAAGCTTTCTAAAACATGAAATTTTATTTTKATTAACTTCTTCTTGATTAAATAATATTTTCAATCTCAGCAACGCCTTTTTGATGGTATGAATGCGGTTTGAGTAGATTCTGAGCTCCAACCGGCATAMTCTTTTTAATCCATATGCATTTTCTGAAACATTTCGCCGAACATTTTATTAGAAAATKGTTTTAAATGCATTATCTGTCATATATTCCTATTATCAATTTCTAACACAATTTATTTATTTCAAATTGTAATGCAAGTAAATTAATTTTCAATTGGCACTGTGCTGCTGATTGATTAAACTATGTATGTATGCAAATGGAAATGTAATGCCGTTGAAAATTATAAGTATCAATAAAAAAAGCACCGTGATTAACTTGTTTGATAAGCAACTATGTAGATTACTAATTGCTTTAAATGTGTTTATGTATATTTAAGTAGCACATTATTGTATATTTTTATAGCTTTACAAGTTTTTTTTTTTTTTTGTTGTACTTAATGCATTTGTTAATTATCTGTAGCGCTTGGCGCTTGCCAAGTTTAGTCTCGCAGCAGCTGACGCTCATTATTTGTTAGTCGATAAGCATACGGACATGGAAATAAGGCAGCATGCATATCTGTATTCGAAAAGTGATTATGAAAAATTAAGACAAAATCGAGTTCACAATGTTAAAATGAAGAAAAAAATATTAATATGTTATCAGTACAGAGCGGCGTCGCCAGTTTTTTTGTATATACATTCTATAAGAGATTGAATATATTATTTATAAATCTAATTTAGAACTCAATGACTAATATCATTAAATGTCTATTGACATATAAATGTCATGTCCATAGTTTGATCATTGTATAAATAGAGAAWGATCCCGATTGTTTTCAAATCGTCTGCTGGAAGATGATCTCCTACGGCCAAACTCTTGGTTCGAACCTGTACTGGCCACAATTGGAGTGTGTTAGGGAAGCAATCGTCAACAAGCGCAGTCTTATTACAATTTTTTTTTGTTTTTGTTTGAAATTTCTCGCTTTCAATATTTCTTATGTTTGGTGTTTAATTGAATAAATGTTTTTGATAATAAACAATATAACTTGATGCCAGCAACATTTTGGGGATTTTAACTGCGCTAGAAGGCAATATACAGTAAATGTAGTGTATGTCTATGGAAATTTAAGCAAAATGGGTTCGATAATTTTAGTGTCTGCAGGAAGTGTAGTATAAACAAAAATACGAATATATATATATGGGTGTTCGAACTCATGAAAGCAGTAAAAAAAAGTGAAATATAACAAAATATTTTTGACTAACGAAGTGAGATCTCTGAAATTTTATTTATTCTYTATGTTCCTTTTAGCTCTCATAATACTTTAATATCATCACAAATGCACCAATTAAGTTAGATAATTACAAAAAAAAATTATTTTATTTTTAGCCAATAGTGACTTAATCAAAATACAATTATTTCGTTACATTCATATTGGCTTCATTTTATTAAAAAAAAAATATAAAATCTTGGGTGTGTCCATTTCAATAACCATATGTGTACAACTGCCAATATAAATAATCCGCCCCACCTTCATTTACATTTGAGAATGTGAACTAGTACTACATACCTATATATAGGTACCTGTAGACATTAATCAAATATTTGCGTTCACCCCACCCCCACCCCCACCTTTTTCCCAACCCAACTATGGTACCACAACAACAAGAATACAATAAATCAAGTCACGTTTTAATGTAAAACTAATGAAGATTTATTCAATTCAGACTTTTAACTTATAAACTAAATAACATACATATATATATATATATATATATATCTACACATACGTATGTACATATTTACATGTATATACAATATTTCAAAATATCTCAGATGTGCGCTGGAAAGCCTAGTTGAATGTGGGTTGCCAGTAGACGGTCGGTGTGACCTTGGACAAAGTACCTTGGTTGCTKATATAGATGCCACCATTCTCGGCTGACTCGACCACCTCAGCCAAATGAGCGCCACAAGCTTCGGGTTTCTGTGTCTTGGTGTTGTTCAGCTTCTCACCAATCACCTTGGAGTACTCAAAAGTATATTTGGTGGCAATGTTGTTCTTCAAGGGCGTATCAGTCAAACCGGGACAGAAAGTGACCACCGCAA